AGGCCTCGTCCTGGAGCGGCACGGCCTATCTACCGCTGCCCGACACGAGGAAAAGATAGATCATTCGGTGAAGTGAGAAGCTTCGATCCGCACTTGCGCAGACGGCCTCCTGGGCGCTCGGGGCTAACGAAAGGCTTGGTCACTACACTGTACAGTAGTCCCCCGCAAAGGGAACCCACAATAAATCAATATCCTCGCAAAATATATTCTTTCACAAGATGGTGCAAAATATATTTAAAGGGGCTGATTGAAATTTCAAACGACACATGTTGCGAAGATGCACTTGGTTGTCAAAATGCCGTCACCCTCGACATGGATGAGACTCACTTTCGAGCAAAAGCGCTCACTACGCACCACCAGTCCATCCTGGCATGCGAGGACTTGAATTGCGAATTTGGGCTCAGCATGCGTTTGGGCTGCCACGTGTGACCCAAAAGTCGACTATGCGACTTTGTCTCGTTAGCTCAACACCCAGAGCGACCACATGGACGTGCATCCCTCAGATAAATCAGCACACAAACCTCGCCTACCGGCCACTACTAACTGCTGGCGCCATACGGGTATACTGGACGAAGAGATGTATGATTTGATCGAGAGTATGAACAACCTTTGAGGAATATAATGTGCGCATTGTTGTTGGTGTGCGTTTTGTCTTCTGGAGGTTGCCAGGGTATCAACCCCCTGAAAATATGATGTCCATTTTTGACTGTGAATCGAGCACTTGCCAATACCATATGTTAACTCTTGTCCAATCAGAATCGAGCTACCCATCAAACATGCCTTTTTAACTTTATACTTGTGTAAATTGAAAACCTCTAAAACCATATCGCCAACAAAGGTTCCCTACCTATTGCGGGGGACTACTGTATTGACCTACAGTAACTGTAAAACGTTCATGAGTAAGAACCTGTTCCGACTAACTTTTGGAATGGGGTAGAGCCTCCAGCGCCTCATTCTTGAACCAAAATTATCGGCCAACCTATCCAGGGTCATTCTAGTGGCGGCCGGAGATAGTGGGCCATGATTGGTCAAAGATAAATATATGTCTAACCAATCAGAAGCATCTTCTCAACAAAGAGCATTTTAATGGACGAAGTGACCGCCGTGTGTGCAGCAGTTCTCGCCGCGGTGACAGCTGCTCTTACACCCTTCGACGGCCGCAGCAACCGTGGACCCATTGAAAACAACTTCGTTGTTCCAAACAACACGTGGTTGCTTGTGAAATCTACGACTTCCCTCAATGCATGGTTCACGCGGCACCTGCGATGCCCTCGACCCACGTTCAATCGAATTGTGGACTCCATTGGAACGGCATGGCCGACCGTGCACCCTGCTCTCCACCACCTCAACCGCTTTGGCATTGATGACCGCGTAGCTTGCACCCTTCACTACCTCACTCACTCAGACGGCTACGAGTCGACGGCAGCATTGTTTGGTATTTCAAAGACCAGAGCGTACGAGTATTGTAATCAAGTGTTTGCTGTTGTTCAACTCTGTTTCGTGTTGGATACCATCTCGATGCCAACGACACACGCCCAGTGGGAGGACATCAGAACAGGGATCGAAGCGTATGGATTTCCCAATGCCTACGACGCCATCGACGGCAGTTTGATATCAATAAAACGATTTGAAGATTTCACTGGGTGGTACTGCCGCAAGGGGTTTCCAGCATCAATATGCAAGCTGTGGTTGATCATCGGATGAAATTCATGTCGTACTCGTTGCGCTCTGGAAGTCAGAACGACAAGGCGCTCTTTAACCACTCGGTGTTTGGAAAAACGTGCCACCAAAGAGTCCCTGGGGCCTGGGGGTGGCTGCTTTCTTGGCGACGCTGGATACAAGCTGTATTCACACCTCATGACCCCATACACGATTTACTCGGACATTCCCCAGGACGAAGCGCACTACAACACGATCCACAGTCGCAGCCGCATGGTCGTCGAGCGCGCATTTGGGCTTTGGAAGAACAAGTTTCGTGTTTTTAAGGCTGAGCTGCTCCAACATCGACCGAGCGACATGGCGCGCCTGATTGAAGTATCCTTGGTGTTTCATAACTGGTTCATTGAATTCAATGAGGAGTTGGATAACTTCGAACCCGAGTTCTTCCCCGAGTGGATGCACACCGGTGGCGACACAGTCTTCGATGAGGAGCTGAACCAAGTCGATGGTGCACCTGCAAAACGCGCTCGGGATATGATCAAGCTGTATTTAAGCCAACATGTTAGTATATAAGTATAATTGATCGTTTCATCGCCTTATTAATTACATTGCACAAACATGCATTATATTTCAGATTATTGTATTACTTAGAATTCACTTTGGAGAAGACCATAACAATTACATTTCAAATTGTTGTAATGTTTAGAATATACCCTGGAGAAACTGGAGCATTTTGTCGTTGACGTCATTGGTTTTATCGATGCTGGATTTCGTTTCCTCCATAAGATCCAATAGCTTTGTCATTTGTTCTGACATATCCACGCCAGAGCTGCGGGAGTTCTTCACCTTGGCTGCCTCAATGAGTCCACTCGCCAGTGCTTCTCCGAGGTTATTGAGCCCCGCCGCAAGGTCTGGATTCTGCTTCTTGCGCATTTGGCGCTGGCGCTGCATCTCCAAGTCGATTTCAACCTTCCGCTTGTTTTGTTGCTTGGAGCCAGGGGCATGCAAGTCCTCTAGCACTTCGACGTCGTCTTCGGCGCCTGGGCTAGCACTGGGGG